TGATACAGTTTTTATAATTATGATTCTAGTAATGCTTTTAAAGAAAATTTTTGGTCGTGATTTTTGGGTCGTTTCAAGTTGGTATCAGAGCCTTGGTTTGAGGGATTCAGATATGCATTCGAGTGTATTTGAACTCAAACTAAGGACACGATAAAGGATTTTCAAAAGAAAAACATTTTTGAAAAAAAAGGTTTTGGAAAAAGAACTTAGAAAGAAAAGAGTTTTAAAAACGAGAAAAGGGTGTGGTGCATGCAATCAGCCGAGCTCAAGTAAGCACTCCCAATTTACCCATACAAGTTATATTATGATCATCATTATCAGTTTCAGTTTCAGTTTCAGCTTCAATAGAACAGCATGCTAGAATAAGACTAAGGATCTAGGATGATGCCCTATGTGCCTGTTTTATGTGTTTCAGCTGATAAGAATTGCATGCTAGTATTGAGTAGATAGTAGTAGGATAGCCTGTGTAGGTTATGCCTGATAGCATGAGCTTAGCATTGTATGCTAGTGCAGTTTCTTGTTATGAGAATTGTTTTGCCTAAGTATGTTTCCTTTATCCGAATGCTGCTTGCTTTGTGCTTTGTGGGACTCTGAGTGGTGGGAGTTAGCCATTAGGTGAATACGTCACATCACATGTGATTAGGGTTGGATAATCTAAGAGTGCTAGATTTGGCCCTACCGCGCAGCTCTTGTGTGAGTCCAACCGTTGTAGGGACGCGACTTTTACTCGAAGGATTATCCGAGCCTCATCACATGTGATGGTATTCAGGTGGTGGCTAATTGGCATTACAAGGAGGCCTTCAGCAGCTGAGGACTGTTTGGGTAGAGTCAGAGGTTCCCTAGGGCAAGCCTAGGATGAGAGTAGCAGAGATCAGTAGAAGAGTAAAGGGGACTTGGTGGAGTTGAGGTAACTCTTGAGGAAAGTACGGATAGATGTGGAAGGTAGTAGGGGCCCATACTACTGAAAGCAGAGGATCCGTACTCGATTCAAGAGGGGCCGAGGCGAAACCAAGGAACTAGTAGAGTATGTGAGAGATCCCTCAGCAGTAGTATGTAATTGGTCAGGGATTGTTATATTTTCAGCATGGTGACGTTGCGCGAGATATCAGTTGGCAGTTCAGGTGCAGGGGAGGGGTCTGGCTCGGCTTTAGAGCCGGCAGCTTGATGATCAGATGAGGGATTTCATTTCCGCAGAGATTATGCGCAACATCATCGATCAGACTCCAGTGATTTTCGGTTCAGTTAGAGAGGCTATTGTGGAGCTCATGGACAGTCATCTTGAGGCCTTTAGGGCCGGGTTAGTTTTAGGACAGATTGGGGCTCGTCTAGGTCCCGAATCTTATGGAGTTCAGGGATCCATCAGGGAGGGAGATCCCATTTCTAGTTTCTGCTATCAGGGGGCAGGGGTGTGTGGGGCATTCTGTCTCCAAGAGAAACCATTGCATGATTGGATAGTTGAGGAAGTTTCGCGAGCCATTCGCGAGGGTCTGCCAGACATGGTCGTGAGGATCACTGATAGATTGATAGCGAGGCTTCAGGATCAGACATCTGTTGTTCAGTCAGCAGACGTTGCCGTTGGGGTAACACAGGAGCGAGAGTCGGGCAGGGAGTCGGAAGGGAAGAGGAAAATGGATGAGACTCAGGTTGCCACAGGTTCGAGTAAGAGGCCCAAGAGTTCAGATTTGAGGACGAGGAACTATCAGAGCCGCAGTCGATGCGGGAAGTGCGGAAGGACGCACATGGGTGTGTGTAGGCGTAGAAGTGGTGGCGATGCTGGGTGTTTCAAGTGCGGCCAGATTGGTCATTTTAGCAGAGACTGTGTTGTTACCATCGCCCAGGGACTTGATCCGTTGTGTTTCCATTGCAGTCAGAGGGGCCACAAGAAGGCCCACTGTCCGAGTTTGTATTCAGCAGGGCAGGCGCCAGCTCCTGCCCTTGGAACTTCAAGTACCGTCAGTGGTTGTCAAGGCCGGGCAAGGGTGCCTACGGCTCGGAGCCGAGTTTCTCCGGTAGATTTCAGCAGGGATTCGAGCAGCACTGAGTAATGGAGGTATGTAACTTTGTTTTTGTCAGCTTATGTTATGATTATATTTTATCGTTTCTGCATCAATTGTGGTATAAGTGTTGTGTTATGGAGTGGCTTGCTTGTCATTATGTCATATGCCATTTGCATACCTCGGATAATTGGTTGGTAGTTAGGGGATGTGCTCATATGGAGAAGTTTCGGAGGATGCAGTAACTGTAGCATGGTAGGGAGAGATATGGTTCGTTTTGCTAGTTCGGAGTGGATAGTGGTTTGGATGGAATGGTCAAATTCCTACCTGGCGGGCTTGGGTTCCCCAGTAGAAGTTTTGGAATGGTAGTAAAGGTCGGGATCTCTTTTGAATGTGAAGCAGCAAGGGGTAAGCAGGATCGAAGTGGGGGAGAACCCTCCGGGTATACATGGATAAGAGTCACTCAGAATGAGTGCGCGACCTCTGAGAAGAAGTGGTAGTAGCACAGTGATGGATGGATTGAGAAGTTCAGAATTGAGAGTTCGAGAACTTTTCCCAGCAGTGGGTTCATGTAATGGAGATGGTTAGAAGCTGGTTGGGAATCCAGGATTTGAGGACCACCTGTAAAGGCTCAAGTGAGTTGGAATGAGGATCCGGAGGAACGGTTAGCAGGAGATGTCTTCGTATTAGTAGCCGGTGGCTGAGCCAGCATGCAGGATTGTGTGGATTCAGGAGTTGGGAGGTTGGAAACTTCCCGACAGTAGCTTCTTGTATCCGGAATAGTAGACGGTTGGTTTGGGAACCAAGTCGGAGAATTCCTCGACGAAGCGCTGAGCAATCATGGATATAGGATGTCGAGGATGATGCAGTAATTCAAGGACTGAGAGCTGGTTTTGAGAAATCAGGATGAGGATTCACGAGCGGGACTAGGGATAGTCAGGATGTCCTCGGGATAGTAGTAGTAGTGTTGTAAGCCTGCAGGGGTAGTCGTAGCATTCACTAGTAGTCAGATAGTAGTAGAGTGTTGTAAGTCTGCGGTGGTAGCCGTAGCATTCACTAGTAGTCAGATAGTAGTAGTAGTGTTGTAAGCCTGCGGGGGTAGCCGTAGCATTCACTAGCAGTCAGATAGTAGTAGAGTGTTGTAAGTCTGCGGGGGTAGCCGTAGCATTCACTAGTAGTCAGATAGTAGTAGTAGTGTTGTAAGTCTGCGGGGGGGGGGGGGGGGTAGCCGTAGCGTTCATTAGCAGCCAGATAGTATTTGAGAGTTGTGAACCCGCGGGCGTAGCCGTGGCTTTTATCGGGTTGGTAGCAGCATGAGCGCGTTGTTGAACGCGGGAACGTAGTAATTCCCACCCGTTCTAGTGCAGCAGTGAGGATATGGGAATCCACGGGTTAGATTTCGGATTTCCCAAATGGATCAGTCATGGCTAAGGCAACAATTTGGGCTATAGATCGTCACATCGGTTATGAGATCAGAGTAGCAGTGGACCGTTGGGGTTCGGGTAGGTTGCGGGCTACCGTCAGTCTGGGAGCCATCATGTTATTAGTCGTGGAATGGATGATGTCAGGATGTGATGTATGGACCCGATCGGTTGGATCGGAAGGTTGTTAGAGCCACAGTGACAGGATAACTAGTGGAAACTAGTCCTAGAGGAAGATTTCATTCAGAAGTCGTGGAAGCGACTAAGTGCGGGTCCCTTGACTCCACAGTTGGGTTTGAGTTTAGTGTTTCAGGCAGCTCAGTGTTTCAGCCAGTTTAGTGTTTCAGGCAGCTCAGTGTTTCACCTAGTTTAGTGTTCCAGGCAGCTCCGTGTTTCAGCTAGATCAGCGTTTCAGGCAGTTTAGTGTTTCAGGCAGGTTCAGTATTTCAGGCAAATCAGTGTTTGGAAGGTTTCAAGGTTTTGGGTCAATATTGTATTTGCGTTGGAATGCAAATGTTGATGGTATAGTTGGTTGATTTGGAAATGGCAAGTCTCTCTCAGTAGGACCAGCTGAGCCTTCGGCTGAGTATAGTGATATGTAAAGATAGCTAGGCAGGTAGCTTTTCTTTCAGGATGCACTAGTAGAAAAAAGGCCTTTTACGATGCTCATTGCACGTCGTAAAACGTTCAGACGATGCGCAAATGCGTGTCAAGGAAGGCCCTGTCATAAAGAGAGACGATGCGCTTTTGCGTGCCGTCTATAGACGATGCGCATTTACGACGCACATTTATGACGCTCATTTACGACGCGCGGTTATGACACGCAATGCGTATCAAGGAAGGCCCTGTCATAAAGGAAGACGGCACGCATTTGCGTGTCGTAACCTTACGACGCGCCTGTTTATGACACGCAATGCGTATCAAGGAAGCCCCTGTCAAGAAAGGCCATGTCATAAATAAAGATGACACACATTTTTGCGTATCATAATTTTAAATGTTTAAAAAAAATATTATTTATAGATTTACTAATTTTTCATATTAAATAATACATTAGAAATCTCATAATAATAAATAAAATACCATAAATAACAAAGATAATTCATTTCACTAATATGTCAAATACAAATAATTATTCCAATAGTGAGTAAATGTTATAAAAAAATGAACTCATTTATATACAATTTCATTATCTAGCTTACTATGTGCCAACAATTTCTATCTTTTTCCTTCTCTGCATAAACTTCATTAGCAGCATCCTAAAGAACTTCTATCTTTTTCATCAGCAACATCCTCAAAAACTTCTATCTTTTTCCTTCTCTGCATAAACTTCTATCTCACACTCAATGTAGTTTTAAACATCAGGTTTAAAAAATCAACTTTAAGGTTGCCTTGTTAAAGAGAATGACTAGAATAGATTTCCCTTTTTCACAAGGCATGTGCTTGCTTGCACATATATATGGAATCATTCTAACAAAAAAAACTGTTCATGTCAACTACTCCAAGGACTATTATGTAATTTAACATGAAGAATTTTGTCCAGATGAAAGGATTGACTTTAAACTTTATAAAAATCATTTAACAGAACTTACCTGACCATGAAGCGTGTTGATCCAGGATCTCCTTGCCTTCCTGCTCTGCCACGAAGCTTTGTAAAGCAAGAAATAAATTAAAAAAGTGAGTCTGAAAGTATATGCTAAATTTATGTAAAACCTTAAAACACAATATTGATGCAAAGTTACCTGATTATCAATTCTTCGGGACTCATGCAAAGATGTCCCAATGACATGGAGACCACCAAGTCGTTTGACTTCCAATCCTTCATGAAAGCAATGAATCTCACAGTCCTTTAGAACCGATAAATAGGCAATTGCAATGCAAGGACCAAGAGGGTACATCTCTGCCTGTTCTTCCACAAGCCTTTGCAGTTCATCTAAACCCATTGACTGGCTCATTTCAATTGACTCTGAAATTATAGATTTTGCCTTCTCATATGTCCAACTCTTGTTCTCACTTTTGCCCACGTATTTAGCTGCGTTATTTACCCAAAACCATATACCATTCACATTAACGTTAGGGCCAAATGAAAGAATAGCTACCTATTTCTAATTACCAGCATCCTACTCTCAGTACAACATCCTAAAAAGAAAAAAAAATGAAAGTATACAGCTATAACCATAAGTGGTATAGTTTTCAAAGTACAGTGCCTTATGAAAGATATCTTTTTTAAAGAGTATGCTAGTATGGTAGAAAGCAATGAAAGTAGGATGCTATAACACACAAATAGATGAAAACAAGTAGTTATTGTTGCTTGTTATATTTTTAGCCCATATAGAAAGTGAATACTTACTTCAGTTTTTGCAGTTCCTATCATCCCTGAAAGCTTTGGATAAAGCTTAAACATTGATTGGTATGTGATTTGTGCCACTACAACTGAATCAGCCTGCAAAGCCCAAGAGGAATACAAGGCAATAGCTTTAAACAAGAGTTGTCAAAAAGAATGATGATGTGGCAGGCAATTGCAATATATACCTGGATTGGTAACCCTTCTTTTGCCTCCACAGCCAGGTGAATCCCCTTTGACCATCGTCTTTTTTTTCCACTCTCCCCGTCAACTTCAAATGAACATTAATTTACAGCAATATAACTAGGTTTTTCTCCTAAAATAAAAATACGATGTTTGTAATACCTCCTTTATTATAAGAGCTTTCCCATTTTTAACAATGTACTGGACATCTTGGCGATAGAACTCCCATTTTTAACAATCTGCAGCTCCTCCAGCCATTGTGCCCAACATATACAGATTAATTTCAATGATTTTTTTTCACAGATTGAGATGCTGCAAAAAAAAAAAAAAAACAAAAAACAAAATTAAACGAGTGTTTTTGAAGACTATTTAATGCTTTCAAATCATGTTGCTTTCGATTCATAATTAATTATTAATCAAGTAAAGATATATTATAATTTAGAAGGAGAAATGCATACATATATAGCCTCCCATGCTAGCTCGGAATCTGCAGCAACCATCACACCTTCCTTAAAAATAAAAGCCAAAGTTGTTGTTCCTTTTGCTGGTTTTACCATTTGGATAGAATTCTTCTGAAATCCATCAAACTGAAGCAAAGGATTTGATGTAGTGTTTTAGCAATATATACATTCACTTAATATCTAGCAGAAAGGAAAAGAGAAAAAGGCAAGAATTGTAAAGAAACTCACATCTGATGTAACTGGTAGGTCAAATGAAGGGGCATCAGAAAGCAGGTCGTCACTTCCTCCATAGAGTGGTGCACTTGTGCAGTTTAATCAGATGCAAATAAATCGCATACGATAATAATTACCTTTGATGAGCTGCAATACATCTTATACTCCAAACCATTCACCACATGTACGCCTTCCATGACAGCTGATATAGCAGAAGATTCATCAATACCTGAGAATTGGCATTTATTTCTGCATGTAATTAGGAAACAAATTAAATATGAACATAAATAGATACTTATTTACTCAATGTCATAAGAAGTATTAATATTTATTAGTTATTACCTCTGCAACATAATACCAGAATCCTTTTTTCCAGGCACAACAGAAAGAAAACCATTGTGAAGATAAGTTGAAAAATTATGATCCACAGAAACCGCAACCACATCAGTCTTTGCATTCCCAACATCCATCAGTTGAATGGTTAAACAACATGGGCCAGATGACTGCAAAAAAATAAGGAAAAATAAATAAATAAACCAGAGTTCTTACAGGATACAGAGACTGCTACATATGATTATACAGTAATAATTTATGTTTATTGTTATTGCTATTGTTACTCTACCTTCACTGTTTTGTTTTTGTTAATGTTATTATTCCTGTTACCTAAGTGTTAATGTTATTGTTTGACTGCTTTCTGCAACCATAGTTATCAGATTTGTGAGCAAAATAAAGATAAATAAGCTTACCTACCATTAAGCCAGGATAAGAGTTTAGGGCATCAATGGAAGATGTCTCCTGGATTTTATTACCTCCTGGACACACGCCATAAATTTTCAATAACTTGGAATTGTTTCAAGTAATATAATATAATCCCAAAAAATACCAATAACTACCAATAAGTAGGCAATGCAAATTTTGGAAAGGCATATCAGGTTCATTTGTAGCTGAGGGGTACCAAATACGCTCTATGTTATTCTTATTTAATTGAAGTTGCTCCAAACTGAATACAATTTCAAGTAAAGGATAAAGCTTTCACAAAATAGTATAATATTAACCTTGAGTAAGTCATTGTTTAGGGTTAAAAAGCGAATCCAGAGTGCCAACACGAAAGATTTGGGATATTAAACTGCAAAACTACTCAAATTTAATAAGATACTTAGTAAAATTGAACGAAATTGATAGCGATGATTGTTATACCCTATAAAGAGGAGTGTCAAATGAGTTTTTGGAGATGGATTCTTGTAAGCGACTCCACAAAGAAGAAGCAGAACTCTGAACGGGAAGAGAAGTCTTCGTGTTAGGGGGAAAATTAACGAGATTCCCAATTGCTGCTCAAAATTCTTAAGATCGACAACGGAGATTCCCGATTGTTAAATTGAATTATGGTTTGCAACAGAGAATCAAAAGGGGGAAAATTAATGAAATCTATCCTCCAAATAGAAATCGACGAATTCATGAGATAGATTGATTTCATTTTGAAAACATCCATGATTTCGTTTTGAAAACATCCATGAAGTCAAATTTAGAAGCAGTAATAAGCGATTCAGATTCGCTTTCTATTCAAACATGTTCAATTTTTTTGTAGGATACGGTCCCAATTTTTACATAGGAACCACCAAATCCTTCAAAACTAGAAAAAAAGTATGTGAAGAAACGAACAATAAATTGATTACCTGGATCTCTGACACAAAAGTTTCAAAGGTGATGACAATCAGGAAGCTAATGGAGCAAAGTTATGGTTCTTCATCTGTGTGTTTTTCTATTTATCTATGGGGAATCAAAAACAAACGAGAATCAAGATTTGAATTCCTAATATTGAGACTTGAGACTATAATATTGAATTAGGGCTTTTTCTGAAAATTTCAACATCAAGTGGAAGATATGGTGGTTCCAGTGGGTAGAAGTAAGTGAGCCTTGATCGATGTCAACGATTGGGGAAGTAGTTAGCGGTCGATGTGGCAAGGGGAAAGAAGTATCGCTGATTAGGGTAAAGAGGGAAGTGAAAGCGGGCTAAGGTAAACAGGGAAGTGAAAGCGGGCTTTTCTAATTTTTGGGTTTTTCTTTTTCCCGCTTATTACTAA